CGGGAGGTACCAAGTGACTTCACCGCCCCCCGCCCCCCGCCGCCAGCTACCAGACGGCCAACTCGTGTTTGCCTCTAACTCCGATCAAGGCATTCGACACCTATTCTGGTTTGCATGACAGAAAAATAAAACAGGATAGGGAAGTTCTAGGTGAGACCGTAATTTCAATACCTGAAGTGACGATGTCTTGGAGGTCTTCCTGGGTAAGCCACCTCGACCACGCTGTTCCCTTACATGCGGCATCACCGACAGTCACCGCACCGCTCATTGCCGCCCGGCTCACCGAAACCTCCTCACGGGGCGCGCCGTGGCAGGCCCCCACGCCGGTGACGCGCACCCACTGCAGGCACACACGAGCACGGAGACATCGGTCGTGCACGAAGCAGGGCGGACGCTGGGTAGGGAGTCTGCGCCTCAGGAGGCGTACCTCAAACCCACTGCTTCCCAGTGTGAGATATCCAGCAGTTTCAACCGAACGAAAATTAAACCCCATTTCTAGAATCACGGACAGGCAAGACATACGTAGTGTATACTACATGTTCTTTGAGGGAAAAAAAGAGAAACTGCTCATGTATTTGATGAAAAATATTTAAGGCAGCTGCGATCAGTATTTTCATTATTAATTATTTGACACTTACAAGCTCACCAACAGCCACATGGTCTGCTACTGAGCATTTTAAACACAGGAATGTAATAAAAATTACCGGCCATAAGCCATGGCATGGCTGCTCATAATTTTTAGACACTTTGAGTTCAATCAGTCACCCCGCTGAGTTCCAAATATCTTCCCTTCCGAAAATGAGTAACCCCTGGCTGGCGTAGCTCAGTGGATTGAGCTCGGGCTGCGAACCAAAGCATCGCAGGTTCGATTCCCAGTCAGGGCACATGCCTGGGTTGCAGGCCACAGCCCCCAGCAACCGCACATTGATGTTTCTCTCTTTCTCCCTCCCTTCCCTCTCTAAAAATAAATAAAATCTAAAAAAAAAAAAGAATATACGTTCTATAACTCCTTCCCTCCAGAAGCTTCTAAATGAGAGTGGGGGGGACAAGGAACGCAGGCCTGCATGCAGTCCAGTGCCGGGAGCGACGTGATGACCAGGCGTGATGGCAAGTGCCTTAATGGTCCCTTGCGGTCACAGACGCCGCCCTCCCTAAGGCAGCCACTTGCCGGGTCACCCTCACTGGCCCCTCCTCTCGCACGTCCACAGAGCCCGCCCCCCGTGCCAGCTGTGCTGCCCAGGGAGGGTGCCCACGGCCCGCGCCCTCCGCTGCCCACACAGGCCCGGTGCTGCCCAGGGAGTCCGCCCAGAGCCGGAGGCCAGTCCTCCCGCTCCCCTGCGGCGCCAGCGTCTGCCCAGCGGACAGACCTCTCTCGGCCCGGTCTTCACCGACCGCCCCAGGAGGAAGGGCGACGACGATGGTGGGGGGGGGCACCCGGGGAAGCACGGCCGCTCGGTGGTCACCCGGAGTCCGCGCATCCTGCCCGGTGCCCCGCGTAACTGAGACAGCCCCGCGGTGTCTCCCGTTCCGTGTCCGGTCCGCGAGCGCCGACCCCAGTGTCAGGCGCTCCACAGACACCGGACAGACAAGCGAAACGCAGCGGAGACGACGCAGGAAGTCACCACTCAAAACTCGCACGTGCAGAAAGCTGGGCATTGTAAAGGCACGTATGATGTGACCTTTAAACGGCCACCCCCGTAGCCACCTGGGGATGTGAGTTTTCAGAGCCGGTCTCCCTCTAAGCCTGACGGGCCACTGCGCGCTCTCCCTGCGGAGCAGACCATTTCTCTGCGAGGCTGGTTCGTCCATGGTGAAAACACAGGAATAAACATTTACTGTTCGGAATACGTAAAGATGTGCACGTTACTTTTTCTGGCATGGTTTTCCCCACTCCCTTTCCTTTTACCTAGCCGGCACACAACGGAGTCCTCTGCGCGGACTTGCCTCACCGTCCACAAACCAGTCCCCGGGCCTCCACCTGGCGGGCACACCGGCCGCGCACAGACGCAGGGACGCTGCCTGGAAATCCTCCCCTGAAACCTTCCTCCTCGAGAGACGCCCCCTGAGTGGGGCTGGGACAAGAAGGGGGGCTGTCGGAGGAGAATGGAACGTGCAAAAGCCACAGAACAGGAAGGGGGAGGCGGAGACCACACGCCCCAGCCGCCGGCCGCTTCCCAGTGTGCAGGGGCGGCGGCGTGCAGGAGAGGGAGGAGGGCGGCTCGCCGGCTCGCCAGCTCTCTGCTCTTCGGGGAAGACGGGGCGGCTCCCCGCGCACTGTCCTCTCGGGCCGGGCTGCGGCTGAGCCCCCTTCTCAACACCCAGTCTGCAAGGGCTGCGTGGAAGGAAAGTGGGCAGCCCGAGACCGTCTCGTGCCCGGCCCCGTGGGAGAGGAGGGAAGCGGCTCTCCGCAGACCGTGGGGGCAGAGCTACAAGGCTCTTCCCGCCCATCCCCGCCTCCGAGCTCTCCCACCCCGGTCCATCGCCGACGTCCTGGGTGAGCTGGTCGCCCCACGCCCACCTACTGCCCCACCCCTGGCTGGGGAGCCGCGGGCGCACGCACGGCCCACGCGGCCTCCTCCTTCCCGGCCGCTGGCCCCGGCAGGGCCACGGTCCGAGTCACCTCCTCACACGGGCGGGTCGTCCTCCCAGCGCAACCGAGTGCGGCTTCAACGCTATGCAACACCATTACAGCGTCAGTACCAATATGGGCATTTTACTTTAATTGTTAGCATTTATTTTATTACTGCGTTCTATTTTATTATTTATATACTTGCACTAGCCATTATATTCTTGTTCATTTGTACAATACTAATGTTAAGATGTTAAATGAATATTCTTAATATTCCAAAATATTCTTAATAACTACCATATTTTTCGGACTATAAGATGTACTCCCCCCACCCCCCCGAATTTGGGAGGCATAATGGTTGTTAATGCTGCTGTTGAGTTCTGTTTACGTTTACATGGGTGAAATACTATGTTATCTATGTTATGAAATATTTTATGGCATTTTTTGCTTCAAAATTGTTTTTCCTATTTTCCTCCTCTTCAAACCTGGGTGCGTCTTACGGTCCGGAAATGCAATGTACAACCTGCGCACGTACATTACACAGTGTGCAGCCTCAGCTGCTCAGCTCGTACGGAAAGCAGATCCGGGTGACACGGGAAGACACGTGGACAGCAACGTAAGGGTTAACTCTCGCTGAGACACCACAACAGCACCCACAACTTCCATTGTCCAAGGCCTTCACTCAATTTCCCAGGTCACCTATGTCGTGTTCTCTCACACAGGATCTGCACCCGTCTTCACACAGCGAACTGAAGGGTGCGTCTCCTACAGCGCGCCCAAAGCGCCGCCAGGGTCCCCTTTCTCCAAGACCGAGGTCGTCTTCACGGGTCCGCGGGTCTTCGCGGTGACACGGGCCGCGGCCAGCCCCGCCCTCAGCCCTGCCCTCGGCACCAGCCGTCCGATGATCTGGGAGGAGAGCACCTGACTCTGTGCTTCCCTCCCCCCGTCCACACACACACACACACACACACACACTCATTCACTCTCACACACACACTCATTCACTCTCACACACACACACGCTCATTCACTCACACGCACACTCATTCACTCTCACACACACACGCTCATTCACTCACACACACACTCATTCATACTCACACACACTCATTCACTCACACACACTCATTCACTCACACACACTCATTCACTCACACACACTCATTCACTCTCACACACACTCATTCACTCACACACGTTCATTCACACACACACGCTCATTCACTCTCTCACACACATGCGCTCATTCACTCACACACACTCATTCACTCTCACACACATACACTCATTCACACTCTCACACACACACACTCATTCACTCACGTACGTGTGCTTTAAAAACTACTCTGCGTTTCAATGGCAAAAGCTCTTTTTGAAAGGGAAACAAGCCAGAGGAAGACAAATGTCTTACGATCTCACTTGCGTGTGTAATCGAGGGAACATAATAAACAAAAAGAAAGACCAGCACAGAAACAGACTCATGGACGCAGAGGACAGGCTGCCGTCGGGGAGGGGGGTTGGGGAGCCGGGTGAAAAAGGCGAAGGGGTCGAGCAAAACGATTTAATTTAAAACATAAATAAAAAGTTTACTTTTTATTATAAAAAGTAGGTAAGAAATCAGAGAAACTTGCAAAGCCAGAGTGAGGGAAATCAGCTGCAAGCAACACAGTAGGAGCATGCCTCTACGACATACTTCAGGAAGGACAACCTTGAACTTTAAATGCAGCACTTTTGCTGTACTACATAAATATCCAGAAAACAGTATCTATTTCAGTGTTTTTAATACAAAATATCTCCATATAGTTAAAGTCATATTTGACATTAATTTCTGCTCTAAACTAACAGTCCCAGAAACGAACGCTTGGCCAACTGTCACTCGCTGAGAAACCAAGCCACACACTACGACGCTGTGAGTCCTGTTCGTGACACACGCTCTCCGCCCGGCATGCGTGTGACCGCACAGCCCCCGAGCCCACACGTGTTCTGTCGCCAACAGAACCGCGGCTCCCACGGACAAATGCGAATGAAACATCTAATGCTAACTCAACAGGCCTTTTCCTACGGGTCACGTATAAAAACTGTTCCAAGACTTCTTTTTGCAAAGCATACATACAGCTTTGCAATATACAGATTATTTCTGGAATCATTCATCATAATCATGAAGTAGAACCATGTCTAATACTGCATTCTTTCATGTATTTACATTGTCAAAACTTAAGTTGCCAAAATTCACTTGTCATCAAAGACCTTTCTTTTGTACGTATTCTCTCTCACTCTAGCTGTCAGTTATCTCCTTAAGCAGAACAAAGCCATCACAAAATTAAAACGCGAGCGTCCGTGGGCTTCACCCTTGCTCCCAGCACGGAGCGAACGCGGGCTCCAGTCACCGCGCAGCAGGACACGGCCCGCGCCGACCCGAACGGGCTCTTACCTTCGGGCTTGTTGTTCTTCCTCTTCAGCCATTTCTCTACCGTCTCCGCACTAACACTCTCAGAAACAAATTCATCTAATACCTGGGGGTGAAGAGAGAGATACGCCTTCACTTTTTCATCTGTCAAACCTGCAAGAGAGTTGAGAAGAACAAGGATCTCATTACACGGACCGACGTAAAATGCAAGCGCAGAAAGAACAGAAGGAAGCGCATCCATCCAGGCCCTGGAGCATCATCCCTCGGCCGACAGGGAACGGTGGTCTCGTACACGCCACGACAGGAGGGGTCCCCAAAAACAAGCACAATCAGACACGCAAGGGACAGATCTTCCGTGGCCCCACCGGCACGCACGGCGGGTCTAGGACAGCCGCCCACAGGGAGGAAGCGGATCGAGGGCTCCCCGGGACTCGGGAAGAGGGAAATGGGGAGTCCCCGCCGAACGCGCAGAGGTTCTACTTTGAAGGAAGGCGCGTTTTGGGAGCGGACGGAGTGAGGCTGGTGCACAGTGGGAGTGTGTTCAGTGGATTGTACGTGCGGAAGGGCTCAAGTGGCGCCTTTCTGTTACATACGCTACCACCACAACAAACAGTTAAAAAAGAAGTGGGAACATCAGTGATTTGAAACTGCAGACATTCCATCACGAAACAGCTGTTTCCCACCACATTTCGCTGTCGCGTCTGGGCCGATGCCGTGTCCCAGCTGTGTGGTGACACCCCACAAAGTCCTTATTTGCTGTGTGCGAACAGCTGTCGCAGGTTTGACACTCAAGGCAAAGGGAACTCTGGTAACAGCACGAAACAGAGGAATATACCGCCGGTACCTCTTAGGTCCCAAAAAGCGTCCACCGAGCAAGTTACCACTTCCTGTTGACAACACCGACCCTACTTGCGCTCCGGGCCACTCAACCCACTGGCTGTCGGTTCCGAAGAGCCGTGACGCGTGCGCACTCACGCCCGCCGTGCGCGGCCTGCCTCCCCCAGGCACCTGCCCCGTCCACGGGCAGCTGCGCTCCCGGCACGCAGGCCTTCCAGAGCGCCTTGCCCCGTTCTGCTGCCGAACACGTGACATTGAGCTTCTGTTTTGCATCTGGTGCTTCACGTGGGTGTGCCTGGTGAAGCTCATCGTTCCCGCTACTGTGTCCGCTCTGTAAGTTACTCAGTCAAGGGCCATCCTTGGGGGCGACTGGGTGAAGAGGACGATGGGAAACTGTACTTCCAGATGCAACAAGAAGCGAAGGAAGCCAACTCTGTGACTCCAGGAAACGGACCGCCCGCGGCAGCCCCGGACGGGGCCCCGAGTCCCGGGGGTCCCTTCTGCAGGGACGAGGTCTCGGCCCCTCAGGCTCCCCAGCAGGGGAGAGGAACGAACGGAGAAGGCAGGCGGCTCCCCCCCGCCCCGGGCACTCGGCCCTCACCCAGCCCTCCCCCACAGTGTGTTCGGATGGAGGTGGGAGACACAGAGATACAGGCCCGCACAGAGAGACACGCACTCACAAGAGAGGTTTTAAAGACGAGGCCCCATCGGTGCCCGCCCTGCAAATTCCACTGGCGACAGTCCGCACGGTGCTAGGTGTAAGAGGCTGGTTAAAGCAAGAGAGGACCCCCCTGAGGGAGCCCGTGACAGCCCCCGACACAAAGGCCCAGGGTGCCGGAGTGGGCTGACCGCCGGCCTGACCTTCACGCAGACAGACAGGACACAGTTCACCCCCCCTCGGACTAGGTCCCCACGGCAGCCAGTGGCTGCAGGCGATTCCTTCTTTAAATGTCCTCCCACGGCTTTCGTGACACGGCACCACGCCGCTCTTACCCTCAAGTCCTACTCGTGTGTTACTGCGGCCTTCTCTTTGGTCACCGACGGCGAGGACAGCGACATCTGAATCGGGAGTCTTAACGTATTTTTGAACTCCGGGCCTCGGACACTCTTCCTCCACCTCGGGCTCCCTCTTGGCTCAAAACCAAGTGACTCATCTCCTGCCCCTTCTCCCCAACGCGACTTTAACTCTCACCTTTCCTTCCTTGGTTCCTCTCCACTTTCTCGGAAACCCAGGCTGAAAACACAAAGTCACCACTGACTCACCCTCCCTTGTCATCCCGTTTCAATCTCAGAGCATTATTATACGAGTCTTATTTGCCAAATTGCAAAATTACACATCTGACAAAATACACAAGGAATGCTTAAAATGCAACAAGAAGAAAAACAACCCAATGAGAAGCAAAGCAAAGATCTAAACAGATACTTTCCTTAAGAAGATAAAGGTAAGGCAAACGAGCATATGAAAAGATGCTCCATTTCCATTAGTGAACTGAAGGTAAAATAAAAAACGAGATTTCACTTCATACCTATTAGAGTGAGTATAACTGAAGGAACCAAGAATCCACTGTTGATAAAGGAGCAGAGCAATGAGAATTCTCATCCACTGAGAGTAAGAATGCAAAGTAGTAGTCACTTTGGGAGACTTTCTGGCAATGTCTTCTAAGACTAACTGCAGTCTCCCCATGTGACCCAGCAGTCACACGCCAGGGAAGTACCCGGCTGGCGTGAGGACACATGTCCACACACAGCCCGCCCGTGATGGTCCGCAGCAGCTCTGCTCATAACCGACCACCCGAAATGGCAGCCGCCGAGGAGCCCTGCGATAGGCGAGTGGATGTGCAAGCTGCGGCACGTCGGCGTGACTCAACATGACGTAGCAATGAAAGGAAGTGAGCCAGCCAGCCACCAACACAGGGATCACGCTAGAAGGCCTCCTTCCGCTACGTGCCAGGTCCGAAAAGGCCGCATGATGCTCGATCCGGGTCACACGGCGTCCTGGGAGAAGCGAAGCGAGGGAGAGGGAGAAGGAGCACAAAGGTCGGCGGGTGCCGGGCCTCCGAAGGGACGGGAGGGGGACCGAATGGGGCGCCGTACAGGGCGGTGAGACTGTTCGGGGAGACAGCGTCACGGGGAACACACGGCACTGTGCGCATGGCAAAAACCCACAGGACTTCACAGCACACCAATGAACTTTGCTGTGTATACATGTTAACGCCTCTGGAAGGTCAGGGCGTCCCAGGACGGAAGTCAGAATTCGACAAAGCAACGGGAATGCACAAAGGGGCCTCGCGGCGGGAAAGCACTTGCGGAGAAGGCGCCGCCCCCCAGCACCTGCAGGGCCGTGGGGTCCGGGAGACCGAAGGCCAAAGGGGCCTTCACCGTATGACACTCCAGCTCGTCAGCTGTTATCCTGGGGGGGGCAGGTCAGTCCCATTAATTCCAATACCACTACTCATGTACACGGGACCAAACAGTTAAATCAGGGGATGGTGGGAATGAGGTTTCCCAGTGGTGGCTCCCACGGGACCTCACGTACAGGAGCAATCTAGAGTGACTGACGGGGCATTAACTGAACCAGAGACCGAGACGCCAGCATGAACTGATGCTCAGCTGCCGAGAGCTGCACACGGTCGCGCGCAGAAGTACTGGCATACGCGTGCGCATACTGGTACTTGTGTTACCACGCACACACGCGTTCCCTTGCCACGGCAGCGGGCAAGGCCCGGAAGCAACAGTGTCGCAGACGGCACACGTGGCACCCAGGTCACGGTTCCTGACGCCTTTCCTTCCCGGCGAGAGGAACGTCTCCCGGGAGAGACGGCTGACTGTGGGACAGGAGGAAATACCGCCTAACCCGGGCTCCGGCCACCCTGCACCACACCGGACTGTAAGGCAGTGAGAAACGCGCGTGTGCTCACGCGCACAGGGAATCCCAGGTGTGGCGAAAGGGCACAGCTGCGGATCGAAAGAGCTCCCGATGGTTCAGAACTGGAGCAATGTGAGTGACAGAAGAAAGTAAGACTGACGCACAGAATAAAATGCACGTCCACACTATGGTCTGAAGGTCTGTGCTCCCTCCAAAAAAGTTCCTGTGTTAAGACCTTAGTCCCCAACGGCGGTGGCGTCAGTAAGGGCTGCCTCTGGGGGGCGCTCAGGTCAGGAGGGGGCACCCTCAGGAGCCGATCTGTGCCCTACGAGAGCGGCTGCAGGGCGGTCCCGGTCAGTGCGAGGCTGCGCAGAGGCTGAGCCTCAAAGAGGGCTCTCTCCCAGCCAAGCCGGCACTGTGACCTTGAACTTCCCAGCCTCCGTCACTGCACGAAGTAAGTTCCTGTTGTTTATGAGCTACCCCGTTCCTGGTCTGTCGTCAGAGAAGCCCAGATGGGCAATCCCCAAGCCCACGCTGATGTAAATAAACGACTGAAGAACCGGAGGACTGACCGATCCCCCATGAAGAACTACAGATCCTCTGTGCAGGTACTCTGCCCTCGAGAAGGTGGCGTATAACGCCCTACGCCTTGTAATTATTTTGTAAAAATCAGCCAAAACTAAATTTTTAAATACCAGTTGAGTCACACGAATGAGTCACGACGTCTAAGCAACCCTCCAAACTAAATAAACTGATCAAATCCTAGGGTTAAATGTGCACGAGAGAATGAGTACATTTTGGCTGTAAGCTCCATTTAAAATGCCAGGAGTCAACACACACCTCTCCGCCTCAGGTGTCTCCAAAGACGCCCGTGCACTTTTCTCCCTCAATGACCATTCGCATCTCATGAAAGCATCTCCCCCAAGGCCGGAACGGCGGGACGAGGAATTGTGGGGCGGGGGGCTCAGTGAGCAGGCGTTCGGCCGGCTCACCTCCCTGGGGCGGAGCCTGGCTCCCCACTGCACGGGGGCGGGGCCTGCGGGGCAGCAGGGGCAGCGAGAGCACCTGTCCCGCAGGGTCACCCGCGGGCAGCACCTCTGCCTGCCCCTCCGATGCTGGCACCAAAAAGCCGTGTTGCACCCGCCTGGAGCCAACTCCTGCATTTGTCCAGAGACTCACAGCCCACCTTTGTAACTCACGTAAGGTTACAACTCCAAATTTTCTAAAACTTCAGTTTTTACTTTAGTATTTGGTGTATGCTCGCCGTCCTCAGCCATCAAAAGCAATGGATCCCTCCTTTCTTCAGCATTTGACTCACTTTCGCCTCCCGCTAACATCCGGGTGTGCTGAGGGCCTTCCGCACACACAGAAGCGCCCCAGGGTGACACCCTGAAGTGCCCCCGCCGCACCCCCGGACACACGCAGGCGTGTGGATGATGAGCTTCCTCTT